GAGAGACAGTGTCGAAGGCCTTCCAAAAGTCCAGGAAGACTCTGTCCACTGCTACCCCTGCATCTAAGGATTTGGTGATCTGGTCATAGAAGGCCACCAGGTTGGTCTGACAGGACCTGCCTCTAATGAACCTGTCACTGTAGTCATGGGAGCTCTGACATTTACCTGCTCCTACTAAAATCAATCATAAACTTGTACCAATAGCAGTTAATTACATGATATTCATTTCTCCGAGAAACTCTTTACTTACGCAACTCTTAGGGTCTCTAGTCGCCAGAGGGAACGAGCATGAATCGACACAGCACCACCTTCATAGTGGACAGTTCTGTAACACAAACAAGAGTTTACACTGCATTTTTAGCTCTTTCATAGCTGCTCTTCATCTGTCAATTTGCGCACTTAGCAAGATTTTTAATTTCAATATGTCCAAGACAATCCATCTGTTGCCAATGGTTATTGTACTCAAAAATAATATCCTGTCATTTAAATCTTGCAATTCACTTCTCATACAAATTCTCTTTTTTTAATTATGCCTTTATGGCACTTCATTTCTAACTGTCACTTCTATACAGTGTTGAGAATGTAAATAGCTCTCTTGCATTGTTTGTAAGCATCAGTATCCAATATGAGAAAGCACCTGAAGACTGAAACAGCTCATGGCAAGGAACTGGAAAGGGAAGGAACAAATATTTTATTAAACTGAGCTGTAATTTTATAAAGCTCCTATCATGCTTGCTCACTTTATTACGGAATTTTTGGTTTACAGCTAAACCAATCTAGTTTTCAAGGCTAAATACTAGGGGTGTGCAAAGTGGGCAGTATTTGATTGGGATTCATATCTGGCCCAATTGAAGGGACTGTGATTTGATTTGCTGATTCGGATCACTATCCTGATTCAATTCAGCCAAATCTGAATCTGAAGATTTGATTCTGATTTGGAGAATCAGTGATTCAGCCATAGACACAGCTTTATATATTTTTTCTACCTACCTTGCAGTACCCAGGCATGGTTCATGAATGCTGAGATGGTGGCGTGGATGGAGTGTCCCATGGGAGTGCAGAGGTGACTTCCACGTGCTCGGCGATGGATGCAGAAGTGGACCGGAAGTATTTCTGGTCCATTTTCAGGTCTGCTGCCAAACATATGGGGGACCGCGCTCCCTCTCCCCACCCAGCTCAGTGATCAGCCATGGAGGGGACCCCTGGTCCCCCCCACAGACCCAGGAGGCACCAGTTGCCGAGCCAGGGGATGGAGGGGTCCCCCACACACTCCACAGAAGACTTGGAAGTGGATCAGAAGATGCTCCATCTGCACCACCATCTCAGCGTTCACAAGCCATGCCTGGTACCTCACGGTATGTAGAAAAAACAATACATAGAAAAAATAATAATGCTGTGTCTATGGCCGAATTGTTGAATCTCTCTGAATCAATTCAGAGTCTTCTGATTCAATTCAGAGAGATTAAAGAGTCTTCTGATTTGATTCAGAGATTCAGCTGCCAAATTGGGCTGAATCTTCTCCGAATTCAATTGACCAAAGCTCCGAATTGACCAAAGCTTCACACAGCCCTACTACATACAGATAATCAAAAAGCCCAAGGTTGAATCGATCAATCTTAGCAGATTAATCTAAGCTGCATAGATTGAACTGATAAGTAAGTGAACAAACATTCACCTTTAATTCCAGTAATGCAGCCACATGCCTGCAGTGGCCAAGGCCAGAAGCCAGGGGGTGCTAGAACATGCCTCCCTGCTCTGCTGGAGCAGACAGCTTGGGCCAAGGCTAGCCCAGTGAAACTGAGAGGGCAGTTTATGTAGGAGGTGCAAAACATCCTGGGATGCTGGAGGACTGTGAGTTAACTTGAAGCTGGAGGGGATCTAGGACAGAAGTTCAATACACCAATTTAACCTAAATCAGTTAAGTCTGATACTACATACATCCAGATTTATCTTAAACCAGTTTTGGCCATTTTGAAAGTGGTTTACATACACTGAACTCCTGGGCTAGGGACAGAAGTTACACATAAACCGGTTTAAGTCATCAGAAACTGGTTTAAACCTGTAACAGAACACAAGCTCAGTGAACATAAACCAATTTCAAAATGTCTGAAACTGGTTTAAGATGAACCTGGCTGAAAGTAGTATCAGACTTAACTAATTTGGGTCAAGTCTGTTTATGAAACTTCTATCCCACATGCCTTCCTGGTTCAAGTTAAAGCACAATCCCGCAGCGGCCCAGCATTTTGCAACCCTGGGCTGGGCTATGCTGTCTGCTCCAGAGAGCAGGCCTGGCCCGCCCCACTGTTCCCTAGCTGGAGCAGTGAGGGCTGGCTGGCAAGGGCGTGGGGGGAGGAGGAGTGCCCCCCCGGCAAACCCCAGCTGGGGTCTGGGGCTAGGGGCCAGGGAGGGGGGTTAAACACCCCTTCTCCCCACTCAAACTTATTGCCTGTGACCATGGACTACAAATACCAGAGGCACGTGGAAGCAGGAAGAGGAAGTGATAAGCAATCTTGCGGAGTCCTGCTGCTGTAAGTCTGGACTACAAATCCCAGAAACCTCAGGGGCAGCAGGAAGAGGAAGTGAACATACAGCCAGAGAGCAATGCTGTAGCACAACCGCCCCCCC